GGGGGGGGGGGGGTTGGAGTCACTCAACCAATTTAAAAGGAGCAGTTAACCAGCTAGCAACATCCATGGTGTGAGACAGCACACTTCCTAATTTTTAGGAGTGGGAATATAAATTGTTATCCACTTGGCAGAACTTTGTTGATAGGACTAGAATATTCCTTTTGTATGTAATTGCTTAGATTGAATTGTATGTGTATATAAGGTGGTCGAAAAGGAATGACCATCGAGCAAAGATTCACACTCAAATATCTTGATTTCCGACTCATTTCCTCGATGGAAATTGAGTCTCGATGCATGTTTAGTATAGTAGATTAAATAAAAATGAACAAAAAAATTAAGAAATTCGGTAAATTTGTAGCGTGTTCATTTTCATGGAGTATTTCAATATGCTAAACATTTCATCTAAGTTTGAACTTATTTCGTCCTGCATATTTAAATTAGTATAATACTGGATTATTGTAGAGCTCATCCAAGTAGACACATGAGTTGATATTTTAAATGCCTCTTCTAATTATTGTAGTTTAAAAATGTCATAAATTAGATTAATGGTCCTTGTTACTTTCTCAATTTCGATTCAAGTTAGAGCTTAATTTACATTTTTCATAATTTGGTAAAAGCTTAAGTCAAATATTCGGTGTTAATAACTAATTTTAAAAGAATTAAAAAAAAAAAGATTAGTTAAAAAAAAAATCTTATATTGTTAATGCAATGATGCAATTTTTTGTTTATAAAATAATACCACTTGACAATAATATTTTGAACTTAATAATATTTCTTGAATTATTATATCATGATGTAAAACCATTTGTCACAAATAGAAGGATCTATTTATGAAATGTTTCCACTCCCAAAACCAAGATTGCTCTTTTCAATTATTTAACATAAAATAAATGAAAGAAAACTAAATCTGAATAATTGGTATATTGAGTTATTTAAAAATAGAATTTGCAGTATGACTATTATTTAAAGAAAAAAAATCGAGGACCCACTAATCTTTAATTATTTCTGCTCTTGAATTTTCTTAAATCATCTTTTTTATGGCATTGACACTTAGTAGATTAGAATCGCTAGTAAGATGTCCATTCCTACTCAATTTATATAATTGTGAAATTAGACTATTTTACATTTTTTGTTCCTTCACTTCATTCAAGATACGCCTATTTTAACAATTTTCCAAATTTTGACTAGAAAACGTGAAAAAGTTACTTTTATTAAAAAGTCAACTATAACATGAGTTGAGATCTCTTATCTTCATTTAACTATCTCTCTACTAAAAGTATGACACCTGATTATATTTGCTCTTATTATTAAGAATACTGCTACTTAGCACCACCTTCGATACCGTATATATCATTCATTGACAGTAGGGACGAATCCAGGATTGGATCCATGATCGTGTTACAAAATTTCAAATCGAGCTACTACGCGGAAAGAAATTTACACATAAAAACTGATTTTTTACCAAAAAAAAACCTTAAAAAAATGTTCTTGGGTGGGGGGGGGGGGGGGGCCTACAGCCCAGCCCAATCCCCCTATCTGTCTCTATTGACAAACATAGTAAAATGTAGAAAATAGATGACTCATTTAATTAATAGTATCATTTGATGTCATCCACTATTATTTAGCCTGATATTGTAACACAAGTGATGCTAAATACCATTCTCTATTAACAAATAGAGTAATGCTTTTATAGCACCATTGTTATTAGTATTTGTAGAAGGGCTTTCGATGGGATTGGTTCAACTTGGGCCAAAAATAAACTCAGCCCAGTTCAGCTGGGTTGTCTGAAGTGGGTTAAGTAAAATTTATGAAAATAGCACTTGGATATAAGGATTGGTTTTGCATGACTTCTGAAAAGTCAAAATGAGTTTTTGTGATGCAAAAAATTTGACTTATTTTATGGAAGTGTTTCTAATTTAACAATCAACTTTAACTATTTATTCCCACAACTTTTCCTCTCTTTTTCTTACCCTTGGATTCGTCTTAAATGAACAAAGACTCGAATGAGGAAGCCGCTCCAGTGTAGTTTCCTTTAACAACACTTTTGAAAAAGAAAAATTTCTTTTAAAAATTAATTTTCAAATTAAGATAACTTCATCTAAAAGATCTTCGGCAGGATGCAAAAGTAAAAACAAAATCCAGGCCAAATGGACCCTGAGACCGACTACTTAACATTCATTTATTATTTACGCTTTTCATGAATCCATAATTTATAAACACTTAAAAACTACTCTCGTATTTTCAAAGTTTGATGAATTTTTCAGGTTTCATAGTGTTTGATAGGTAGTATATTGCCACTACAATTTTTCTTTGTTATATTTTATGGTATTTAATGCTCTCTTTAGCTTTAGGAATAGTTGCCATGTTTTGGGGTGAATTAATAATTTTGGTTTTCATCTTTAGCAAAAATATCATCGGTCGAGATGGCAACGGTTGTACAATGGAGTTGTTAAGCATCTTAATCCAATGAATTAAGAGGCCTACTGCCACCTAGATTGGTGATCTCTACTAACAATGAATAGCATCACTCATGACCATTGAAGATCCCAAAACAACACCTTAATTACATGTAATCTTCTCCCCTATAGCAAGATAGATTGGTGGAACTTAACTTGTTAAATAAAAGAGTGGCTAAATTTGAATCCTATAGAAAGGCAAATACAATTTGTTTCATAAAAAGAAATGCTAAAATAGTGTTATTGATGCTAACTAGGAATTCCAAGGTTTCAGATTTATGCCATGGACGAGCGCCTATGTCTCTTTTGGAGATGCATCTTGTGCTTCAACTGCGTAGAGGTGTAAAAGTGTGGCAGGCTGACTCGACCTTGCAAGTAAAAAGCCAGGCCAGTCACTGTACGACCTAGCCAGGCCGAGTGTTGGTTAAGCCAAGAGAGGCTCGAACACCATTTAGAATGAAATTTTGTAAGTGAATTCTAAACTTATAAGCTGAGAATCAAATATGTTTGTTCTTTCTATTAGGGATGGCAGCGGGTCGAGTACACCGCCCCCCCCCCCCCCCCCCCCCCCCCCCCCACCCCGCCGCCGCATTCAAATGTGTATTATGCGACTCATTGCTAATTTAAAAAACTAACATTAAAACAATAACGAAATATATTATAGAAACGATTTATATTATAAACCATCAAATCAAAAATTAGAAGAGAGAAGAGGAAACTGAAACCCAACAGCTCAAATACGGGTTTGGAGATTCAATTCAATTAGGTCCCCAACAGCTCAAATACATAACCGTTCTCAATGAATCCTCAGATTTCTTCAACCTGTGATCTTCCTTCATCTTTTTACATATAATTGTTGAAGAGGGTGCTCCAGAAAGTTTCTTAACTTGAGTGTATGATCTGAGGTTGTTCTTGGCATGTTGTTGAAGTATCCTCATTGCATAATTCCATCTACAGAATCCCTGATCTTTCAGAACCTCAACAGCTCCAATGCTTGCTCCCACTAACCAAGCCCTGCTTGTGGAACTCATTTTCAACTTCTTCTTTCGTACGGTTAAAATTATTCACTGTTTGTGCTCAATGGATTTGAATGATGATGAAAAATAATGGGGAGAATATTGAGTTTATATATATGTATACAAAGAAACTGGGGGGAGGTTTTACCAGCAGAAAAGAAAATGCCCCCAGTTTTAGGTGGTAGTTTTATGTGCATCATAGATTGTGCCAATGAATTTAGACCAATTAGGTGGAGAAAGCTGCACATATGTCCAAACTCACTTTTGTATTTATATACCACTTGCACATATAATAATGAAAATTATTTTGAACAGAATATAAAAACAAAAGAGTAAAATGAAATTATTTTTCTCTTCACGGGGCGGGGCATCCCCTCCCTGTCCCACCAACCCATCGGGGAGAGTATTTTTGGCCCCATTTGGGGCGGAGCCACTGGAGCAGGGTTTTTTTTTGCCATCACTAGTTTCTGTAAGGCTTTCTTTGAAGCCTTGGATTCCGAATTTTCAAGCTTCAGAATTGTATTTATGTATAGTTTATACAAAGCTTTCTCCGAAGTCTTTAATTGTTTAAATAAATCCACTTTTTGCAGCTGATCTTGACATTGGTATAGAACTTTGAAACAACATTGTGATTTACTTTCTGAATTTCTTGTACAAAACATGCAATCGAGACATACCTAAATTAATTAGAGCAATGATCAAAATATTCATCTTCCATATTTTAGAAACGACCATGGATGTTTACTACAATGGGGCAGTAATCATGTAGTTAAATTGTTATGAATCATTTTTAGAGTCTAGCGACTTTTGTATTTGTCACTCTCTTTAAACTGCGTGTCTTATGTCAATATTCAACTATTTCCAGATAACAAAATCAAGTGGCAGGGTAGAATTTAAAAGAAAAAGCCATCCTTTATTGTCGGATGGGAAGTTGTTTAGCTCTGAGTATATAATAGAAAAGGGGCATTCAGGGGATGGGAAGTTCAGTTGCATGCCGAGGCAGGTGAAAGGCTCCCATCAATGGCAAAGAGAGATCATGCTATAGCCAAGTTAGTTCAATCTGCCAAAATTCTTTCCAATGAGAATAAACGGGCAGATGGTTCAGCTTGTGAACCTTCATCTTAAAAGACATGTTTTGTACAGAGTATTGAATAAGACTGAACATCACAATTAACAAGATTTTAACTTCCTTTTCTTTTATATTTTCGAGTGTTGTTCGATCCATCTTACCGAAGTCGAGCACGGACAAGTACTATTAAGCACAAAGAATGAAGTGGACAAATAATGTGATTCTTTAGATGACGATTTGCTGAAAAAAGGGTTTTTTTTTGCTAAATACTTCAATGAAATGAATATAATCTATGAAGATTTTTTGTTTCCAACAGCATTTTTACTTGAATTATCCATTTCCTTTTGTTTCAGGCTATGAAATTTTTGGTCTGAACAAGTGTGATAGTTTGAAAATTTAAAATAACAATTCAAAGTAGGAAAGGAGATGCGAGTGTAAATGATAAAGACACTTTAATTTCACTAATATTTGCCAGAGTCAAAAAACTAAGCAGTGCCGTATCAACTTTTATTCGTAAAGCTTCAAAACCAATCAAGATAAAAAGGAAACTAAAATGCTCAGGGGCTTCGTAGCCTCCACGTGCTCTAGTATAATTTCACTTTAATGCTGGAAATTGGATTTAAATTGAGAAAATTATGTTAAGTATAAAGTCATTTTCGTGTCAATTTAGGCCAAATATTCAGACTTAATTCGATAGTCAAATTATAACTGTAGATAGACTATCTTGTTCTACTATTTTAATTGTTTAACAGGCAATTAGACCTAATATTGGACTTGAAGGATTCAGTCCCTAATGGAAGAGTTAAAAATATTACAAAACATAGTTCAAAGAATTTGGTGTGACAATCTAAGTTCAAGTGCTTTGGCCTCAAATCCGATCTATCATGCACGCACAAGCATATAGAACTCAATGTTCATTTCATGAGAGATAAAGTTGTAAGAGGAGAATTGGAAATACGTTATATTCCATCATTAGATCGGACAGTAGATTTGTTGACAAAACCTTTCTCTTACTCAAGGTTCTTATTCCTTGGAGACCAGCTTGGAGTGGTAGAGACACTTCCACCTTCAGGGAGTAGGGGGGCGGGGGGTGTTGGAGCCACTCAACCAATTTAAAAGGAGCAGTTAACCAGCTAGCAACATCCATGGTGTGAGCCAGCACACTTCCCAATTTTTAGGAGTGGGAATATAAATTGTTATCCACTTGGTAGAACTTTGTTGGTAGGACTAGAATATTCCTTTTGTATGTAATTGCTTATATTGAATTGTAAGTGTATATAAGGTGGACGAAAAGGAATGATCATTGAGCAGAAATTCACACTCAAAATATCTTGATTTCCAACTATTTTCCTCGATGGAAACTGAGACTCTGTTCATGTTTAGTATGGTAGATAAAATGAAAATGGCAAAAAAATTAAGAAAGTCGACAAATTTGTAACATGTTCATTTTCATGGAGTATTTCAATAGACTAAACATTTCATCTAAGTTTGAACTTATTTCGTCCTGCATATTTAAATTAGTATAATACTGGATTATTGTAGAGCTCATCCAAGTAGACACATGAGTTGATATTTTAAATGCCTCTTCTAATTATTGTAGTTTAAAAATGTCATAAATTAGATTAATGGTCCTTATTACTTTCTCAATTTCGATTCAAGTTAGAGCTTAATTTACATTTTTCATAATTTGGTAAAAGTTTAAGTCAAATATTCGATGTTAATAACTAATTTTAAAAGAATTAAAAAAAAAAGATTAGTTAAAAAAAAAAATCTTATATTGTTAATGCAATGATGCAATTTTTTGTTTATAAAATAATACCACTTGACAATAATATTTTGATCTTAATAATATTTCTTGAATTATTATATCATGATGTAAAACCATTTGTCACAAATCGAAGGATCTATTTATGAAATGTTTCCACTCCAAAACCAAAATTGCTTTTTTCAATTATTTAACATAAAATAAATGAAAGAAAGCTAAATCAGAATAATTGGTATAATTGAGTTATTTAAAAATAGAATTTGCAGTATGACTATTATTTAAAGAAAAAAAAATCGAGGACCCAAGAATCTTTAATTACTTCTGCTCTTGGATTTTCTTAAATCATATTTTTTATGGTACTGACACTTAGTAGATTAGAACCGCTAGTAAGATGTCAATTCCTACTCAACTTATATAATTGTGAAATTAGACTTTTTAACATTAAAATTCTTCACTTCATTCAAGTCCAAGATATGCATTTTTGAACAATTTTCCAAATTTTGACTAGAAAAACGTGAAAAAGTTACTTTTATTAAAAAGTCAACTATAACCTGAGTCGAAATCTCTTGTCCTCATTTAACTATCTCCACTAAAATTATAACAACTGATTATATTAGCTCGTTATTATTAATAATACTACTTAGCACTACCTTTGATATCATATACATCATTCATTGACAAAGTAAAATGTAGAAAATAGATGACTCGTTTAATTAATAATATCATTTGATATCATCCAATATTATTTAGTCCGGTATTGTAATACAATTGGTACTAAATATCATTCTCTGTTAACAAGTAGAGTAATGCTTTTATAGCACCATTGGTATTTGTATTTGTAGAAGGGCTTTCGATGGGATTGGTACAACTTGGGCCAAAAATAAACTAAGCCCAGTTCAGCTAGATTGTCTGAAGTGGGTTAAGTAAAATTGACGAAAATAACACTTTGATATATTGAGGATTCGTTTTGCATGACTTCCTAAAAGTCAAAATGAGTTTCTATGACGCAAAAACTACTTTTGAACCGATTCGACTTATTTTATGGAAGTGTTTCTAGCTTAACAATTAAATTTAACTATTTATTCCCACAACTTTTCCTTGTGATTTCTTGCCCTTGGATTCGCATTAAATGAACAATGACTCAGATGAGGAAACTGCTCCAGTGTTGCTTCATCTAACAACACTTTTGAAATATAAAAATATTCTTTTAAAAATTAATTTTCAAATTAAGGTAACTTCATCTAAAAGATCTTCCGCAGGATGCAAGAGCAAAAACGAAATTCAGGCCAAATCGACCTTAAGACTGACTGCTTAACATTCATTTATTATTTACGCTTTTCATGAATCCACAATTTATTAACACTTAAAAAATACTTGTATTTTCAAAGTTTAATGAATTTTTCAGGTTTCATAGTGTTTGATAGTGGTATATTGCCACTACAATTTTCCTTTATTTTATTTTATGGTATTTAATGCTCTCTTTAGCTTTAGGAAGAGTAGCCAAGTTTGGGGTGAATTAATGATTTTGGCTTTCATCTTTAGCAAAAATATCACCGGTCGAGATGGCAGCATCTTAATCCAATGAATTAAGGGACCTACTGCCACCTAGATTTGTGAACTCTACTAACAATGAATAGCATCGCTCATGACTATTGAAGATCCCAAAACAACAACTTAATTACATATAATCTTCTCCCTTATAGCAAGATAGATTGGTGGAACTTGATTTGCTAAATAAAAAAGGGGCCAAATTTGAATCCTATAGAAAGGCAAATACAATTTGTCTCATAAAAAGTCATGCTAAAATAGTGTTATTGATGCTAACTAGGAATGGCAAGGTTTCAGATTTATGCCATGGACGAGCGCCTATATCTCTTTTGGAGATGCATCTTGTGCTTCAACTGCGTAGATGTGTAAAGTGTGGCAGGCTGACTCGACCTTGCAGGTAAAAAGCCAGGTCAGTCACTGTACGACCTAGCCAGGCTGAGTGTTGGTCAAGACAAGAGAGGCTCGGACGCCATTTAGAATGAAATTTTGTATGTCAATTCTAAACTTATAAGCTTAGAATCATGTATATTTGTCGTTTCTATTAGGGATGGCAGCGGGACGGGCACGCCTAGATGCCCCTTGTTTTTGAAGAGAGAGAGAAGAGGAAACTGAAACCCAACGGCTCAAATATGGGTTTGGAGATTCAATTCAATTAGGTCCCCAACAGCTCAAATACATAACCGTTCTCAATGATTCCTCAGATTTCTTCAACTTGTGATCTTCCTTCATCTTTTTACATATAATCGTTGAAGAGGGTGCTCCAGAAAGTTTCTTAGCCTGAGTGTATGATCTGAGGCTGTTCTTGGCATGTTGTTGAAGTATTCTCATTGCATAATTCCATCTACAGAATCCCTGATCTTTCAGAACCTCAACAGCTCCAATGCTTGCTCCCACTAACCAAGCCCTGCTTGTGGAACTCATTTTCAGCTTCTTCTTCTTACGTACAGCTAAAATTATTCACTGTTTGTGCTCAATGGATTTGAATGATGATGAAAAATAATGGGGAGAATATTGAGTGTATATACATGTATACACAGAAACTGGGGGGAGGTTTTACCAGCAGAAAAGAAAATGCCCCCAGTTTTAGGTGGTAGTTTTATGTGCATCATGGAGTGTGCCAATGAATTTAGACCAATTACGTGGAGAAAGCTGCACATATGTCCAAACTCACATTTGTATTTATATACCACTTGTACATATAATAATGAAAATTATTTTGAACAGAATATAAAAACAAAAGAGTAAAATGAAATTATTTTTCTCTTCACGTGGCGGGGCATCCCCTCCCTGTCCCACCAACCCATTGGAGCAAGTGTCTTTGCCCCCATTCGGGGCGGAACGATTGGAGCAGGGTTTTTTTGCCATCACTAGTTTCTATAAGGCTTTCTCTGAAGCCTTGAATTCCGAATTTGCAAGCTTCAGAATTGTATTTATGTATAGTTTATATAAAGCTTTCTCTGAAGTCTTTGATTGTATAAATAAATCCATTTTTTGCAACTGATCTTGATTTTGGCATAGAACTTTGAAACAACATTGTGATTTACTTTCTAAATTTCTTGTACAAAACATGCAATCGAGGCACACCTAAATTAATTAGAGCAAAGATCAAAATATTCATCTTCCATATTTCAGAAACGACCATGGATGTTCAGTACAGTGAGGCAATAATCATGCAGTTAAATTGTTACGAATCATTTTGTAGAGTCTAGCGGCTTGTGTATCTGTCACTCTCTTTAAACTACTTGTCTTATGTCAATATTCAACTATTTCCAGATAACAAAATCAAGTAGCAGGGTAGAATTTGAAAGAAAAAGCCATCCTTTATTGTTGGATATGTACGAGGGCAGAGTGAACTTTTTGTAAATTCTCCGATTTCCAGAATGATTTATTGGAGTACTTTATGAATCGAGCTCATGCCAAATCAGTATAGAGCATATTTTGCTACACTAATGCTACTCAAATAGGGCTGGGGACAGGCATATAAATTACCTCAGCCCTTGCAATTCAAATTCCACCTTGGCCCCCTGTTTATATATCTGTCATCAGCCCCTGTTTGAGAAGCAGGGCTTATTTTGCTAAGCTTAAATTTAAAAGTTAGAAGGAAGTAAGCTTAAATTTTAAGCATAAATTTAAAAGTTATAAGGAAGTTTTGAAATAGTCGACATTTTTTATTATTGGTGAAAATCGGAAATAAGTAATTGCTTATTTTGACAATTTTGTAACTTGTACTTTTGCCTTTTAGGATTAGTCACTTATTTGCTAATTAGTTGATTTTTAAGGTATTCTTTGTTCTAGTGTGAAGATGGATTGGAAAGAGATGTACAAGAAACAAAATCATTCCTTGCGTGTTTGGCATTCAATAACCCTCCTTGTCTTCCGAACTTTTTGTTTTCTTTTTTCGTGCCTCAAATTATATTGTATTTACTGGGTAGGCTACCTTCTCCCTTCTTTCCTATATACATACATAACATACGTAAGGCTATCTTGAAGGTGAAAAACTTCCATTTTGACACCGTGACCCATCACGGAGCACTTTTTCACTGATTTAGTGAGATAGGTGTGAAATTATCCTCTTCAAGACACGGAAAAAAGGGCTTAGGGAGCAATAATGCATTGATCTAGTCGCCACTGGAGGCACAAAGGACTATCAAAATTGATTCATAAGAATGGAAATGATTCTGGAACCAATGACACGGAAGGAAGGTATGCACAATTATATCCTTCATGTGGTAGCTATCGGGGAATCTATACATTGAATTCAATTTTGACAATGTTTTTGGTAAGTACGCATGGACAGTGCCCAATAAGCTAACGCTCGGAGAATTGTGGAAGGACCGGAGACAACAGACAAGCATTTGACATCTTTGGATGGTCTGTACAACTGACCAAAACTTATAAACCGGCTTTCTTTCTGTTCGTTTTTGAGCCAAACTTACATTTGTAGGTTTGCAACAAAATGGAATGGGTGACTCTATACGTCCTGGACAGGGACAGAGATGGTTTCCTGTCGAAGGAAGCCATTAGATGCTGTTTTGATGGAAGTTTGTTCGAATATTGTGCCAGGTAAATGGAAGCAGTTGACAGGATGAAATGAAGAAATTGTAGCTGGTGCTTTCTGGTGATAACGTATAGTGCACCTGAGTTCAAGGTGTTAGTCACTTGAAGACATTGTGTAAGAGTTCTTGAACATTTGTCTAAGAGTGTCTAGGTTATGTGCATATACATTGTTGCTTGATCAATAAGATGTAGTTTACTGGTATTCAACTCTGGCAATTTGTCTTGAGCATGTTGTGACTGGCAATTTGTCTTGAGCAATTTCAAATCTGCCCTTCAAAGGACTTAAAAATAACATATCATCAAACCAGCACACAAGCTGGTCAAATTTTTATTTTCATTAAATAATTCAGTTCATGAATATCAAGCACATAGTGGAAAAACCCGAAAAAGAAAATGGGAAAAAAAGAATTTTTTTTTCTTCTGCAATTTATGGATACCAAAAATTTGTAAGGTTTAAGCAACGTAGTAGAGAGGGTTTGGGAGCTTAAATGTCCTTTTTGCTGATGGGAGTCCTTCAATGCTGCTCCATTGATCTCCTAAAATGCCCCAAAGGCGATATCCACTGTTTATCAGTTTCTTTCTCAATTCAGCCTTGAATTTCTTGATGTCGTCTTTTCATCATCTTCGCCCCTGAATTAAACCAAAAATGTAATTTTTTCATTTGAAATTTACTTTTCACACGTCCTTTTCAGGTGCACAATATTCACATATTACAACCACATTATTTGAAAGTTTAGATAGTCGACGAACCTTAATATGAGACTAGTCCAGCCATGATAACCCACATCACCAAGGTTATCAATGGTAGCAGATCTGAGACATTCCCTTCTTGAAGAAAGCAAAATGATTTTAATCCCAAGCCCTTTCAGCTCATTGAAAAGCCTCAAAGAGTGCTTTAGAGCTGGAGCTTTCCCTTGGCTCATCCATTCCTCTAAAGATGTTAAGTTCAATTTCCGACCCCTAGACGACGCACAAAAAGTTACTCTAAATGTCTGAGTGAATCTAACAATAAATCGACAATAGTTCATTTAAAATATTAACAAGTAATGTCTTTAATTTACCCAAAATTGTTTTTCTTGTAGTAAGGGACAGTGGACAGAAGCGTATCATCGATGTCGAAAATCCAGGCATCTTTGCCATCTTTCTTGAAATCACAGCTAGTAAACATATGAACTGTGCATTCATCAATTGTCCTTTCAGAATCCACCTTGTATTGAGTTGATGTCATGTATTTCCCAATATATTGAACACATTCCTCAGGCACAACTTCAAAATCCCTTATGTTGTGTAGCTCAACATTCATCCTCCAACTCTCACAGTAATTCTTCAATGTGAGTTGAAGCCCATATTTCCCTTTCTTCTGATTCAAAATGTTCCAGTTTGAAGCTGAAACAATGCCAAGAAATAGACCTAATATGGCCAAGAAAAACCCAAGATTTCTTGCCACTGCTTTGGTCAGAAAATGAGTGGAAATGGACAGTGCAGATTGATATTTGTTGGGCTTTTGTTCATTTATAAGTAGCTTTAGTCTATGGAGACTGACATGGTATGCAGTTCTAGATATTACTAAAGAGTATGGTAAACAAGCGAATGGCCTATTTGAAAATTGGATCACATGGGAATTGTAGGGTTGATTTCCACCGCCACCACGTGTAAAATCGGGCTCAGTTTACCACAATATCGACACTAACATCGTTGAGACAACTCCAACACCACCACTTGCCGCCGCCCACTCCGGTTGCTACCAATTGGAGAAGGAGAAACCCAATAATGTGCCCACAAAGGTTAACCACAAAGGTCACAGTGAGGGAGAGGGAGAGGCCGAGAGGGAGTCTCACAAAGAGAAAGGGAAAATCGCACTCTATGGAGGCCGAGAGAGAGTGAGGGATTATATGCCAAGTAAAATGTCCAAATAGGTAAGTTAGGTTAGGGTTAAGTGGTGGACCAAAAAACAAAGGCTCGACTCAATTAAGTGGGCTTCAACAATAATAATATAGCCTTCCAAGAAATGGAGCGAAAACCGTGAGCAACACTATTTAAAATAGGTTGCTTCGAACAGTTCATAAACAAGTGGATTGTGTTGTCTCGATAATTGTGTCGATATACTAATCAATCATATGGTCGAGGTCGATTGATAATAAACAACCGAGGTTACATCATCGCCCGGGGAGGTCGTTTTACAACAAATTGCCTAACAACCTCCACCTTGGTATCAAAAGGACCTGCAAAGAAAATTATCTCCCATTAGTGATACCTCTAATAGAAAAACAATAAAATTGGAAATCATTTACCTGTACCAATGTTTAGAAGTTCCTTACAACTCCTAAACTTTGACAAAAGATTATGTAATTGGATACTAAAATCACAACTGCACCAAGAGACAATAGATTTCTAGATAATCTCCATTTTTGCAGCCCTTGAGACATGACAGTCATCGGGAAGAGTCAGGATCGACGAATTTCACTGCTGCAAGGTCTAAAACATGGCGTCCATCTCTGCAAAGCATTTCTGAATCTGGAAGCTGCAGCGGTAGCAATTTGTTCATTAAGTGAACAATGTTTAGTCATGATATTACCGTATAGCTAAAAGAAGAGAAATGTGAAGATCAAAAAATCTTGAAAATTACAGTACTTGGCCCCCTGTTACACTCTTATTGTACATTTAAATTGAATTATCTGCGAGATGACAAATGCAATATTCAAATCACTTAGTGGGAACAAGAAACTATAATTCAGCCTAATCGATCCCACTACATAAATCATTACCAAATCCATTTATTATCCTGAAAAAGGTCTTGGCTCATTTTGACAATTTTGACAATTCCCTCCCGCGTCTAAGTCTGAGAACCGCTTGCTCCTGTTCTACTGCCTAGGACAACAGTTTGAGGTGCAGCGTGGTGGAGCTTAGAGTGGTAGGAATATTTTCTTTTTCCACTTTTCTTATGTGAGTTTCTTTTACTACATTTTGTAAGTTTAATTGAAAATGAGATATACTATTGTCTTTTGAATCAAAATCTTTTGTTGTATTACATTTTAATTGTCGAAATTTCAGTGTAAGATTTGAGTGCTACAAACATAAAATGTTGGTATGAACGGAAGAAAGTAGTTTAATGCTGTAATTAACTGGGTCATTTATTGGATCAAAACATTAAATTGGATTAATTAATGTAGTATACTATTACGATTACTTAGGTAAATTGGAAGAATCATGCTATAGGGTTGACATAATGTCACATGACTCTTCGTCATTGGACTATTTTAATTCACATATTGCTAACTAACATTATGTCATTCTATGTGTCAACCACTTTCTATCAAAGTGAGATAACTCGAATTGGAAAGGAAAAAATTCATAACTAACATCCTTTAAGAATATAATTTCGAAAATATTAAACTTGAGCAATCTTTACGAAAATCAGATGATAATTTATATTTATCTTTCCTATAAATAATATACATACATTTTATTGTAGATTTAATGGGGATATATTCTTTTACTTTATTATTTTGAAAATTAAGCAATCTGTTATTTCTTTCCACATAGTGGTGTAAAAATGGGCAGGAAGGTTCGAGGAAATGAGTTGCCACAGGACAGTCCTATTAATGGACTGGCCCATGACGATTTGCGGGTTGGCGTAGACTGGTCCATAAAAATAAGTGGAGTCCAAATCGACCTATCCAATTTGACACCTCTATTTCCACATTATCTTGCGTGCATCGATCTTTTGTCATCTTCCAACAAATGAACTCTCAATTTCTGGAAACGTCAATAATTTGGCCACAATTTCACCAAATTCGTTGCCTCTTTTTTGTTTACAGTTTCATGGTCAGTGTATCTTCATCGTATACATTGTGTTACATGAGTTCTATTCCTTCACTAACTGAATCATCTTTGTGGTCATAAATTCTGGGAATGTTAGAGAAATTATTTCTTGATATCCGTGAGAAATTGTTTCCAAGTGTTGATTTCGTTTCTCGGAGCAACTAATAGAAACAATTTTTTTTGTTAAATCTGATTTGGATCAACATACTTCGTACAGGTACATAATTTTTTAGTCTATTACTACCAATTTCCTTTAATGATTGTTTGTGGACTAACAGTTAATATGCAATTCATTGTGACCTCAGGTTCTTGGTGACCATATGTGGTGACTTCTTCAATCTCAATTCATTGTGACCTCAGTTTATTCATTAGTTATTCGTGACCAACAGACTTGTTTATATTTATATCTTGTGATAGTTGAGAAGATTGTGCTCAGTTGATCTCAAATTTTATCAAACACTTGTGACTAACAAGCGTATTTCCTGTGTAGAATATGATTAGAATTTGACCTTTGAAAGTGGAAGTTTATGTAATATATATCTATTGTGAGTTTTGTAGCGTTTGTCATCTAAAAACTGTATGAAATGTGATCTAGAAGCTGTATATGGCATCATTATCAAACTTGTTCAAGGAGCAACATTGTGACTCATGGTATAGTTGTTGTTAGGTCTAAAAGTGTAATTGGCGATTCTGTGGACAAACGGACTAAATTGTATAATCGTAAAAGTTAGGGACTTAATTGAACATTGGTGTAAAAGTCAGGGACTTAGGGTGAAATTTGTAGAGATGAGGTAAATTAGTGTTCGAGTTGTTGAAGGAGCTCAAGATGTCCAAGAAGATCACACAAGATCATCGGAATGTAATTGAAAGTCTAAAGGATATCAAAAAGCAGCACAAAATATGTTCCGAATTTTCAGTCATAACTTGCAATGCATTTGTCAAATAGAAAGCGTTGAAATTTGAACAAGACTATTTCTAAAAGAATTGTATCCCTTTGAGTTAGATTTCCAACGCAACTTGAATCACCTCAATTAGATATCGGACGATAAAGTTATGATGAAAATACAGACGACTGCTCACTGTCGCTCGCTTCTCGCTGGCATTTCGCTCAAGCGAAAAAAACAGAATACCTCTCACTCGATTCTCGCTGGCATCTCGCTCGATCGACACTCCTATGCGGCAACAACCCTATTTTCATTTTTGAAGTATTTTACTCGGCCCATACCACCTAGATGCCTTCAAATATAAATACCCAAATCCTAACACGAATTTTCATAGGTTGCTACATTATTCTTTCATTGCAAAAGATATTTATAACATCTTTGAAGAGATCCAAGGTGCAATTAATTGGAGATTTCATCTACATCAATATTGTGTTCCGGCAACCATTGTTTTGGGAAAAAATATTGAATCTACATAACTCAAAATACCTTACTTCCTTAATCTATTGAGGAAGGGACTCTCTCATTGGAGGATTGAGAGAGGTGGATTGAGGCGCAGTTACAAGCATAAGAACAGACGGTTCTTGGTGTTCCACTTGGTGATACAATCAACTAGTGGACAACAGACTGGGCTGCAGGAGGTAGATCAGGAAGTGTAGCAGGAGGTTAAAAGTATCTACAACAGTAGATCGTGAGACTGGAACAGCGAGTCTAATCGGGTACGGAGTTTGGTATAACTTGTACTTGCTGAATTGGTATAGTGGAGGTAACTGGCTTGATCCCGGAGTTTTACCCACGTTGGGGTTTCTCCGTCATCATATTGTTTATTATTTACTGCTTTGTATAATATATAAACTGTGGCATTCCAACATAGGTTAATTAACTTGTATGATTAATCACCTAAACAACTAATTAAAGTGACTTGTTGTTTTAGTTAAATTAATTTCGCACGTAAGGTCAAATTGGTTAAAGTGAAATCTAAAACGTAAATTTGGTAACACATAAAATTTGAACTTGATACCGTATCACGTTAGTCGAATTTTCTAGCATATCTAAGCGTTTTAGGTCAAAAAAAAAATTTTCAGTTGTAATGTGACCAATTTAGTAGCCCCAAAGATTTTTTTTTGGCTATTTTGTGAAAACTATTCTCGTAGTAACCTCTTAAATTTATAATTAGGCTATGTACTGTGGCACTTGTGTACCATTTACGTGAATAATCATATGTGACAGTGTCACTTATGTGTTGATGAGATAATATGGAATTATCATTCTTTTGATCAACAGATTTCGTATAGGTACATATATTTTTTAAACTATTACTACCAATTTCCTTTCACGTTTGTTTGTGAACTAATAATTAGTGTGTAATTCAAGGTAATCTTGTCGTTTCGCTGAACACATGTTGTGGCTATAAGTTTTATGCTCTAGGTTTAATTGATTTAGATGATTAACACTTTTAATATGATTACTGAATTTTATATTTTGGCAAGATCTATTATTTATTTGAATCAATTTTCTAATTATTAAATTAATAGAATTCAAAATTCAAGTCTTAGTAACGTGTTAATCACAAAGAGTTGTGATTGTGAAATGCAAATTATATATGCATGAATCTTGAATTATCTATGTTTGCAAGTAATAACGAGATTCGAATATCATTATTACGATTAGATAATCATGTGTAGCATTTTCTTACTTTTGAAGTGAGTAGCTGATCTCACAAACTAAAATATAGTGACATTTAAATAAATACATGAATGTTTTGTTAAAGAAGAAACATTTGGAGCCTCGCTGACGAGATTCCACATGGATAAGTATCTGAATGTTAGTAATTAATCTTTGATGTTCGATAGTGGAATTGATTATTCGACTTGAGATTATCATAGTGCTTTATATGGGGACAGTCATACTTTGATGATATTTAATGTTACACTGCCAAGAGTCGATTACGATACCGTTCGGGTATGTCAAGAATAATATGAAAATTGTAAATAATCAATAGAAAATTTGTCACTCTTAAATAGTAATACCTTATGATCACTAGTGACGCTTGCACTTGGCGAGACGGCGTGGCCACTAGTGCTGACTCCGCCGAAATTTACAATTGTTGCCCAGAGCTTGCTAGCCAAGGAGGAAATTTGAATTGCATAGGCTGAAATGAAACTTGGAAGAAATCGGTTGGAAAATGACACAGGTTTATGATTTGGGCCTTTTTTTAGCCCCTGTTTGACTGACATTAATTTTCATTTCATTACATTCCCCTTTTCTCTCTCTTTTTCAACTACACAATCTTTCAAAAAATAATATTATACGTAAATCGAAATTTTTTTTTTCAACTATTCATTTTTCAAAAAGATACTATTTTACTCATTTTCATTTCTACAAAATGAGGGCCAAATGGGGGCTTAATGTTTTAGGCCCTTTTTTGAGCCTCCAGTTTATTATAAAATTTTGTGACATTTAAATAAACACATGAATGTGTTATTAAAGAAGAAACATTTGGAGCCCCGCTGAAGAAATTCCACATGGATAAGTATCTGAATGTTAGTAATTAATTTCTAATGTTCGATAGTGGAATTGGTTATTCGACTTAAGATTATCATAGTACTTTATATGAGGACAGTCATACTTTGATAATATTTAATGTTACACTGCCAAGAGTCGATTACGATACCGTTCGGGTATGTCAAGAATAATATGAAAATTGTAAATAATCAATAGAAGATTTGTCACTCTTAAATAGTAATACCTTATGATCACTAGTGACGCTAGCACTTGGTGAGACGGCGTGGCCACTAGTGCTGACTCCGCCGAAATTTACAATTGTTGCCCAGAACTTGCTAGCCAAGGAGGAAATTTGAATTGCATAGGCTGAAATGAAACCTGGAAGAAGTCGGTTGGAAAATGACACAGGTTTATGATTTGGGCCTTTTTTTAGCCCCCGTTTGACTGCCATTAATTTTCATTTCATTAAATTCCCCTTTTCTCTCTTTTTTTCAACTACACAATCTTTCAAAAAATAATATTATACGTAAATCGAAAACCTTTTTTTTTTCAACCATTCATTTTTCAAAAAGATACTATTTTACTCATTTTCATTTCTACAAAATAAGGGCCAAACGGGGGCTTAATGTTTTAGGCCCTTTTTTGAGCCTCCAGTTTATTATAAAATTAGGCCCAAATTCATTTTCATGTAGCGTGGAGTCGTCGTTCAATAGAAAAGCAATTCCGGAATCCATTACCTACCATTCATGTTAAACAATTCGGCAATTACATTTTTCAAATCCAGACAAACCTTTCCTTCTTCCTACTGCCCTGCGATTCCGAAGTCAGCACTTGCGACCTGCTGATGCTGCTGCTTTCGAATGAGTTGCCATCGACGCCGGCCTCTTCGATCTCAGTGACTGTGAGCCTTAAGGATTTTGAAGATTTATAGCCTCTTTTCAAGATTTGAGCAAAGAATGTTGATTTCTCCTACATCCAACTTTCTTGTTTTCGGGGATTTTTTTTTTTTAATAAGAATGTTAAACTAAATTTTTGTGGATGGATGATGAACCTTATTAGTTATTAATTTCAATTCAAAATTATTTGATTTAGTGATTTTCTTGAGTTTTTGATTATTTATACATTCATATTGCATTGTTTGAATGATTGGCCACCATTTAGATAACGGGTTGCCTACTCATAGTATTGGGAGGCTCAAAATAAGTAGAACATTGCATATTTGACACATGGATAATAAGTATTAAGAATAATATATATGTCGTGTACGATAAATCTAGTGATATAATGTATGTTTTTCATATGAATTCGGACTAGGAATATGATCTGGTCCTGTCAAACGTAGGTTTAACGTGTTTTGAAAAAGAATATTAAATAAAATTGGATTATCGATTGTCATTAACACTCGAAAAAATACTGCTTTATAAGGGGTAGAGAATTGGGGATAGCATTAATAGAGGGATTAAGAAATCCAATATATTCATCTCATATTTGATAAAACCGCTTCTATTGCTTTCGTAGTTAAACTTAGTATGAAAATCAAGAAACCTCTTTTGATGTTACTCTTACCGAATTTGGTTATAACTAGTAAACCATAATTAAACATTATTCCTTGTGCAACGATAATTCAATTCGCTTAATTTATTACTTGTCGATGATCCCCATTCGATTGCTGAATTTTACCGAAGAACGATCAGAGTGTTGGCGGCCATATGATCGACGGATTTTTGAGATCAACATCTTCGATGATTGGGTGCTCAAGAAAAGGGATTCTTGAAAGTGTTAAGGAAAGAACTTTGAAGAAATTGCAACTTTCAAGAGGGAAAATGTTCTTAGCAGTGGGCAAGGAAATTCTGATTAAAAAGTTGTTAGTCAGGTACTCATTGGCTATGGGTGTGTTCCAACTCCTAGTTAGCCCTTGTCACGATATCAAATAGTTGGTCTTGCCATTCTGATGGTTCAGGTCTTAGGCACAGAGGAAAGAGTTTTGCTAATCGTTCAGGGTCACATGAGCTTTGTACAAATAAGGTGTAAGGTGCCTAGCAAATATGGGATGCCACATGCACCCCTGGGTTCCGTGACTCTAGGAAAACTCTAGAGGAAAATAAGTTCCTGTTTGGCCCCCATCAAATCTCATCAAATTAAATTAAATTTTTCTCTCTCCTATTTTCAACCACACAATTTTTAATAAAATAACATTACACATAAATCGAAAACTTATTATTCTTTTACAATCAACATTTAAAAAAAAAAAAAAAAAAAAACACTATTCTCCCATTATAATGAAAAATAATGGGGGCCAAACGGTGGCTACATTGGTCTGCGAAGTTTTATGTAGTCCAAAAGTGAAAAGTAGGATGCGATTTCTAGGATGTCTTTTTACATCTTTGCCCTTTTGGCTATAAGAAGTGTTAGATGATATTGATTGATTAGGAATCTTTATAATCGATATTTTTCAAATACACGGTCTAAATGTAAGGCTGGAAGATTGAATCACATATTTATGGAGAAGCTTTCGATGGGGTAGGAGTTTATTAAAGAATAGCATTAGGTGGCGCAATGTTAATGGTCAGAAATGCAGTCTCTAGTAGCCCATGTGGCATTTTGACAAACAGTGCATTTACTCATAAGATCTTGGACTTCACTCATAATAACATTTATATCTTGAGAAAGAATTAAAAATCCAATAATGAATTAGATGTGACGTTGATCCAGGACATGCAGTCAGTAGCACGTCACGTGGTAATACATTGAACCAACCCAACCACATTTCCCTTTCGATCGTGAGAGGAAGACTTACGACTGCACATCCAATTTTTTATGAAATATTTTTATTTATAAAATCAATTAGTTAGCGTTCAATTTCAATTTTTTTGTTATTTGTTCTTGTTTGACACTTAATGGAATTAATTTAATCTGCATATTGGAATACTAGTGAATTCATTATAGCTAAAAATAGTACATCTATTAAAACTAATAGTCTAAAAAAACGTAAAGCATGACAAGGCGGTTAGGTCAAATCTTAAACCTTGTGAGTCTATGCGTAAAAAATATTTTCTTATTCATGATATTATTTTAATGATTCCAAGATTATTGAATAAGTAAAATAATGCAAGCATAACAACTAAAATCATTAGAAGTAATAAGTACTCAGTAATTCTTACAACTAAACTTTTTAAAAGTTAGACATTTGAAAATTGAAATCACAAAGTCCTCTTTTGAAGTAAATGAGACAAATATAATTAAACCCATGTTTGGAGACCATTCTTAAAAAAAAAAAAAAAAAAAAGGAAAAAAAGATTTTATAATAATGTTTTAAGAAAATGCGTTGTTAGCAAGTAGGGAAATTTTTTTGAGTTAATGTGCAAAATATTTTATTATATAAATAAATGATTCTATAGGAAATTTTTTTGAAAAGAATGGAAATCAGACATTGGTATTCAGGCTTATATTATCCATTGGGTTTAGGAAATGAATTATTATTGGGGTACACAACCCCAAACATAAGGGTGTCTATAATGACCCTTATGTGCCCTCCCATGTATTCCAAAAATAACCCGAAATGAATTATTCTTAGGAAATAGCTCCAAAAAAAATTAGAAAACAAAAGTGTGCATCTGTTATCATCTAGGCCTGCATTTTTTTAGGACAATTATAAAAATAAATATATTTTTATCAATTTATTTAAATTTATTTTACAAAAATGTTTAGAACGCAATAAGTTGTCGCAGACCTCTACCATAAATTTGCTACCGATTCAAATGCCTGTCATCCAAGTTAGAGACAACATTTTTATTATCACTCTTTGTAATCGAAAAATTCTATCACTAATTACCTACAACGGAAGAAATTAAAATGTTGGGTTTCAACTTCAAACTGCTTTACTTAGCCGATGTTTGGTTCATGTTTATAAATATTTAAGTAACTTTTTATTTACACATTTCAAGGACTCATAAGTAATGTATATTTATCCATCATTCATTTCTATCTGTTTATAATTCATTCATTTTTAATCATTTCCCAAATATACTTTTAGTAGTGTTAGAATTTGGTAGAATCTAAGAATCAGATTGATATATGACTGTAAAATTTTTCTCAGCTATTGTAGCTGAAATTTGTGTGGAGTCATGATCAAGGAAAGGTTGTGTTTGGATAAAATGTAAAGTTTGAGGTAAATTTCAAGACCTCAATTTTTCGCTAATCACTGTGTACTTTCAATTACAGTTCTACTTCACGTACAGGCAGAGGTTGTGTGAGCCTCTGCCAAAACAAACACAAGGTGGGGCCCACGCAAGTTTTACTTTATTTTTTTTAATACAGGTCAGTGGGACCGATCTGCCCTCTACAGTGAGGGGCTGTAAGGCTCCTGTATGAATAGTGCCCTGTACTAAGGGCATTGTTCTTTCAATTAAGAGCGCTACTCTCATTGAAGTGACATTTATTTGTTCTCTTTCTTGACATAAAATATAAAAAAAATTTGTCACTGACAAGCAGCCAACTTTATGAAAAACACGAGTTCTTTACTATAAAACAAGGCTTACAAAGAAATAAGCATTGAAGAGCCTTTGTTTGCTACCGTAAATCAGATCATAAAAATCAAACTAAAATATGAATTTACGACTATCCGAGCCTAAGGAATTCACGTATGTCCTTGTGGCAATTTCTGTCTCTCTAATGATGAAGGCCATGAGCAATTGTTTTACATCATTTTATTGAAACAATGCGAAAATCACGTAAAAATCACATTAATTTTGGCTTCATTATTGAAGGTTGATGCGAATATTGTTGTGGAAATTTTACAAAAATATACTTACATGTAGGAATCCTAGAAGCAAGATCAAGCCCTCGTTTGGCCCCCATTATTTGAAATTTTAATGGTTGTATTAGCCTTTTTTTGAAGAATAAGTAGTTAAAAAAAAAAAAATAGTTTTGGAATTACATGTAGATGTAATTGACAAGAAGAGATAGAAAAACAAATTATAAATTTTAATGGGGCCAAACGGGGGCCAAAATTTGTATTCAAGCTAAAGGACACAACCATCACTGGCAGTCTTCCAAATTAAAATATGAAACATTTTATATGAAAACACAACTAAACAATTTTTTTATTCAAATTTAACCTTTACCAACAAGAATAAACGAGCGATAGGTTCAAGAGTAAAAGATATTCTCCATGTTCAATAGGAAAGCACCCTTCTTCTTGGAATTTCTGCAACATTATGTTCTTGTGGAAAGATAACAAAAGTTTATATCTTCATATAGAAATGCTCAAGTTCCTGCAAGATTAACAATAATGGGAGTAAAAATTCACAAGAATTAAAAAGATTTCAAAAATATTTTGACATTATTCTGAGGTTTGGAAAGCGGTAGGGGAATGAACAATAAATAATAAGAAAAGTACAAAAGAATGTTTGACCTGTATCATTCAGTTTCGGGGAGAATACAAGAAATATATACACTGAAGCAGCGAAGCTCATATACGAAAATAACTTTTCTATTATTCGACATATAAGCCAGTATATCAAAAAACTAGAAAACTATTTTGATTATATGATTCCAAAATAACTTTCAGTGTTGTATTTGTACATATGAGTATTAGCAGTCAAAAACTGAAATATAAGTTCAATGTGTTTGTTTTGGCAATCTTCAGATTTTGTTTTCTAAAGAGAGAGTGGAGACAGACAAAGGGAGACCAGAAAAATCAGTAAATTTGGTTATTAGCCTAAATATGCAGTACGATGAAAAATATAGATTGAGAGGAACTGATGGCTAAGAAACTACCTGGTCCTGATTTTTTCAACTTCAATCCATCTATGGATATAGCTACTTGTCATTTTCAAATTTGATTGAAGGAAATCGATTCCTTAATTCATGCTGCAGTGGAATTTGCAATTTCCTGCAGTTTTTAACTTCTAAAATGGAAAGCACAGGCATGGATTCTTCCTCCACCTTCCACGTCTCCAAGAAATTCAAAGTCGAGAGTTCTAAACGTTTGAGTTTCTTGAAACTAGATTTAGTACATATCATTTCCTTTCCATCAAATGCGTCGTCTTGCAGTACTAGTACCTGCAATTCCGGGAGCTTGTCCAAAGTTTTCATGGGGTCATCCTTAAGTTGAGAGCCTATTAAGACCATCTGAGTAAGGCTTGAAGTGATTTTATAGTATCGTGGTAGCCGTCCAAGATGCCCATCCATATACGGGGTATGAAGAATCTGACAATTGAGCAGTTTTCTAAGAACAGAATGCCTTTCTTCTGTATAACAGTCAAAGTTTTTGATCTTAATGGACGGAAATAAGATACTTGCATGCACTGAAGTTACGTCCAAGCGGCGGACAATCTGCTCAAGATCCCCCAAAATCCCTATAACAGTCTTAGACAAGTGTCGAAGATTTGTCATTTCGAAAAGATCAGCAACATTACACACTGTAGTGTCAAAGTTTTCAAGTATCTCAAGTCCTTTCAAACTGCCCAAATACAGTTTATCGTTGTTAGGCGTCTTAAACTCGAGTGGAAGATATAGATACACAAGTTTTACCATTTTCCTCAGAACATTTGGAATGATTATTGGACTCGAAACTTGTAGATCAAGAATTTCCAAGAATGACAAGTTACCAATCGATGATGGCAACACTCCCAGATTACATTCTTTGAAGCTCAGATACTTTAGATAGATTAGCTTTGTCGTTTCCCTGGGTAGACCTCTCTCTTGAAAGTCAACCCGTTCAAAACTCAGAACCCTCAGCATTCTGTACTTCTTGAGATCAAACATTCTTCGAGGCCATTCCAACTTCATCTCAGGATCACGAGGATTCAAGAACAAGAGAGACCTAAGATGGTCAAACTTTTTCATTTCTAAACTGATCAACAGAGGATCCATCCTCTTGTTTGCCTAAATATAAAGCCATTCTACGTGCACTATTACTAGTCGACGAGCAGGAATCGGAATCTACTCTTCTCTGAGTTCTGAGCCCAAAATCTAGAACCTTAAAAAAATATTCCTCCCTTCAGTGAGCAATGATCTTGCATGTGCTCATGAACCCAACAACACTTGTATTTTCTCAAAGATGGAGTTTCTTCTTCTTTGACCTCAACCATTTTTCTCTGTACCAGATCATTCAAATATCTTTCTGCTAAATCCATCATAGTTTCATTATTTTGACATTCATCTTGGGATATTGTGCCTTCAGCCATCCATAGATGATACAAGTGCTCCACTTTTACCTTCGAACCCTTTGGGAACAGACCCAAATAAAGAAAACACGGTTTCAAGTGATATGGTAAATCATCAAAACTTAAAGCAGAAATCGATTCTTCTAATGCGATTTGATCAACTGGTAGGCCTCTACTCATTAATGACTTGATATCTTGAAGCACCATCTCCCATTCACTTAATGTATGCTTCGTTGCTAAAACTTCTCCAACTGCAACTATAGCTGATGGTAATCCCTGGCACAATTTCAATACTCCCTCCCCTATCTGCTTCTTCAATGGATCCATTTCTGCATATATTATAAAACAGTTGTTAAGAAAATCCTAACTATAATTTGGTTAATGATGAATAATGAGTCCTCATTTCCATTATATTGCCTTCATCAGCTCTTAATATATGATAACATCAGCAATAAACAAAATTATATCTACAATAGAAGGCAATTGCCTCTATGAAGAAGATGATAATAATAAAATGAATAGATCTTAATTATAATACACTTATTGTGCTACCAATATCAACATTTGTTAGAATTAGGGTGTTCCGATTTCTATTTGGAATACTATTTGGGAATCTTATTCGGAGTCTATTTGGCAAATCTAGTTGAAATTCAATTCAGGGGTTCAATTTGGAGTTAGGAATTTGTATTGGACTTGAAGAGGTCAAGATATGGTTCAGGAAGAAATTTTCAAAGCTTTTTCACTAACCTTTAGCCTCCCGCTCAAGCACGCAAAGCAGGAAGTTGGCGCCCGCTTGGCACCTATCTTCTGTTCAAGCAGCGGAATTGTCGCCTACTTGGCATCTGCTTAGCCCATTTCACCTTTTTTTTTAATGCATTTTCATCATTCTTTTCAATCTATAACTCTATTTATAGGGTTTGAAACATGCTCTACATATAGTTAGCTCTTCATCGTTATTTAGACTAGACAAATTTGTGAACATAATTTTTTGTATTCTTTCTCCATATTTTTGTGAATTCTCTTTTCCTTCGCCAATTATCTTTTGTTCTTGTACATTTGTGATAATTACTTCATATTGTGCCATATATTTATCCTCATATTACAACAGACTTGTGTCAGAGCAAGGTTCAATTATATCAAGAGCTCAGCTTATTTTTTGTGATGGTCAAATTACATCTGAAGCAGCATCTATATTCTCATCTATGACAGTAGGTACATCCCTTGAAGATCATCTAGCTATTTTTGAGAAAATCATTGTTGATTTGGAATCCTTAAGGTTAAATATGATGAAAAGGATTTAGGTTTGACTTTTGTTATATTTGTTGCCAACTTTATATAAGTCTTTTAGAGACACGATCTTATACAGTCATGATACTCTTACCATTAAAAAGTCTATGATGCTCTATTTTCGAAGGAGAAAATGAAGCATCTCGTTGGATCTGAGGTTCATAGAGATGATCTTGTTGTTGATGGTGGTTATGCAAAGGGTAAATTAAGGTCTAACTTCAGTAATAAATTTTGAAATTATTGTAAGGAGAAGGGGCACATAATATTGGATTTTTATAAGTTGTAGAATAATGAAAAATTGGTAGCAAAATAAGAAGGGAAAGCAATTAGAAACTTCAAGTGAAGCCGGTAGTGCTGAAAACTGCTATTGTGATGGGGAACTTTTCATTATCTCTGATGACAACTCCAAACTTGATGAGAATTTGATTCTTGATACAACTTATGCTTTTCATATGTGTCCAAATCGAGATTCATTTTCAACATAAGAACTAGTTTCAAAAGGTGTTGTTTAATATGTAAAAATGCAAATTGTAAAACAACTGGTATTTGAAAGATCAGAATTAAGATGTTTGATGGGATGTTTAGAGCACTTGATGAGGTGAGACATGTTCCAGATTTGAAGAAAAATCTTATCTATTTGAGTACTCTTAATTTAAAAAGGTCCACTAGTGAATGTTGAGCCTTGAAAGTAAATAAAGGTGCCCATATTGCTATGAAGGGACAAAAAATGTTCCCAACTTTATGTCTTGCATGGTTCTACATAATCTTTGAAGATTAGATAGCAAAATTTAGGCACTCAGGTGGATTTTAAGTTTGGTCTAGTGGCGTAGAAGTTTAGTTTATGGTCTACATTGAATAATACATTTCAGTCAAGTTCAAAAGTTATGCAACATTTCACTTTACATCATTATAGGCGGTCCTGTCATATTCAATTGCTAGAGACAGATCAAGGAGAAATATGAGGCCTCTGCATCGGTATGGGGGATGCTAACTTAGTTGCTTTTGTTTTAAATGTGATTAAAGGTATTAGTTCTAGACAGGAACCTTCTATTGAAACAATTAGTTGTGTTGATTCTGTTTCATGCCTCGTTTCTACTCTCTTGGGTGATTATTAAATCATTTTCCATTTTTTGTTGCTCGTGTGGATAATTGGAGCAACTTTGGTATCCAAGGTAATCCTGCTGAGTAGTGTTTCGAATTTAGTTGATACTCAATTATTGAGTTTGCCATAGTTAGGTTTTGTGGTAGAGGTGGAGAATTTTTCCAATTGAAAATTTTGATTGAGAATTTTGTTTGGTGTTTTTTTAAGAGTTAAGGTAGTGTTTGATAACCTCTAATTCCATGGAAAATGGAAATTCATTTCCACCTTTTGCCAAAAATGAGTGTTTGATAGATAAAAAAATTCTAGGAAATTCATTTTCCATGATTCTTGCCACCTAAGCAATTTTCCCACTTTTTCTTGAATTGGAATTCTCACCAAAATGGTGAGAATCCCAATTCTGGTTTATTGTAGCGGAACTTTTTTAAATTTTTTTTGGCAATGAAAACAAATTCTAAGAATAATTGTAAAAAAAAAATATTTTCCTTTAATTGACAATTTTCATGTAAAACAAAGTCAAATGAACGTCAAAAGATAGATGATTTTCTTGAATTTTTTTTTTTTTTGGATTGACAATGAAAGCAAATTTCATCCCCAATACCAGTAAAATCTATCTATTTAATTGATAGTTTTCATGTAAAATAAAGCCAAACTAACACAAAAAAAACTTTTATTTCAACATTTTCTACTTAGAAAATTATACCAATCAAACATAATAATTTACAATTCCCAGGAAAATAATTTTTAGGCAATTCAATTCCCCGAAATTCATTTTCAATTCAATTCAATTTCATCTTTACAATTAAACAGACCCTAAGTTTATTCGTTGCAGTGAAATTTGTCTCCAAGTGAAGAATCTTTGAAGTTTTGTTCATTGCAATGGAATTCATATCAAAATAGAGTTTGTTAGAATTAAGGTATGACAAAAATTCTATGTAGATTACTATTTCGGAATCCAATCTGAAGTCTATTTAACAATTCTAGTTGAAATTCAATATGGGAGTTCAATTGGATTTTGAAATTTGTGGACTGGAAGTGGCCAAGATATGGCCTAGGGAGAAATTTTGACGCTTCTCCGCTAGTTGGTTGCTAGCCTCCTACAAGAGCACGCAAAGCAGGGAGCTGGCGCCAACCTATCGATTGAGTAGTGGAGCCATCACTTGCTTGGTGCTCTTAACGTTCGAGCTGTGGTGACATCCAGCCCAGGGCCGTTTCACGTCTTTGACGTGCTTCAACATTCTCTTCCACCTATAACTTTGTTTTTAGGGTTTGAAATGTTCCCTACATATAATAAGCTCTACATTGTGATTTAGACAAGCTAGACAAATATGTAAACACAAATCTATGTATTATTTTTCATATTTTAGTGAATTCTTATTTACTCTACCAATTATCTTTTGTTTTTGTGCATTTGTGATATTTACTTCATATTGTGCTAGATATTTATCCTCATATTACATCAATATTAAATGTGTTGACTCCAATCCGTTATTGAGTATCTTTGGTGCTTTTCTTTTGTCAAATAGACAAATTTTTTGTAGCTTTATTTGATTTAATTCGTTTTCCACTTTACTTCAAAAATTTCTCTAAATGGTAGTACTTGACAAATTGTCAATATATATTTTATTTCTCAAAATTATAAGAAAAGAAATCAGTCTAATGCTTAGTTAGCTTATTATGTCAATATAGAATTGCTTGTCAAAATTTGTTCTATTAGCTGTAGAAGGTCAAGGAAATTTTTAAATCAAATTATCATTAATACGAAACACCATAATAAGGGTTTTGAATTCGTGGGGAAGGTTTTGGGAAAAGTTAGGTGGGCAAATTGACGGTGTGTGTTATGCAGAAGAGAATGCAATTTTATGTTGTTCCTTGTACAAGACATACAGTGGAGTATGTATGCATTGACGGCCAGCAAAATTTTCTTCTTTGCGAGACAAAAATAATTCCATTAATTCAGCCCATGTTTGGTAGCCATTATTTTGAAGAAACAATGTTTTTAATAGTGATTTTTGGGAGACATGTGGTTAAAAAAGTAAGAAAAAATTTTAAATTTATGTGCAAAATATTTTATTATGTGAATGTGCTATTGAGAATGAGTATGTGAATTAAAGAGTTTTAAAATAATTGCTATCAAACAGGGGCTTAATTGAGGAGTTATCTAGGAAAGTATGGATTTATTCTTTAAAACACAAGAATTAGGCTTTCAAGTCTTTTAAAGAGTGGAAAACTTTAATTCATAATCAAATAGCAAGAAATTTAGGTTTAAGAACTGACGATGGGCTAGCATATCCATTTTAATCAGCTTTGCAAGGAAAATAAGTTAGAAGGGAAAAGCTCCACCCGTTTGGCTACGAGAATGAATCGAACTATTTTGAGGTGTTAAATTCATGTTAACTAATGCAACAAGTCTCTTGGCCTAAGGCAGCAGCTGTCAGCATCCCTTTGGCAACACATGTTAAATTCTCATCAGCTATCTTCCATACTTAAGAAGAGTGTTATGAGTGATGTTCCTTACTGTTTTAATTGGTGTTCAACTAATATGATGAGTATATTGGAATGATAATAAATCTATCCGAGTATAGTCATATGGGTGTGTATAGTAAGTAAGAAAATACCAAAAACAAAACGAGAAGAAAAAAAGGAGCTGAAATTTTGGTGTGGACAAGTGCCTAATGTCGCTTTCAATAACCTGAAGCCAAAACCTTGGCCTTGACAATCGCCCAATTTTGTAGTAGACAATCACCAAGTCCAATTTTTTTACTATTGGGATTGAAATTTTGGGTTTGTTTTTGGCACTTTTTAATGAAAATGCATATTTTCATGAACCATTGAGGCCTTTTCATGTTGTATGATTGATAACCTATATATATGAGATCGATTTCATTCCTCTAAAAAATTATTACACCACTAATCATCCTTTTGAGTGTTCTTCAAGTTTTAAGGAAAAATTACAAGTGTTTAGTGTCTTTCTTCTTCTAAGATTTGATAAATCCTACAAATCATTTGCCGTGATTTCTTTTAAGCATAAAAAGCAATTATGAGATGGGGGACAAATTTAGTTTGAGGACAACGATTATGCGTTCAAGTAAATTCTTGATGCTTCTCTTTTCGTTGATTTCTTTTCTCCATTCCCTTGTTAGGATCAAGTTTATCTAACACTAAATTTTCTATAAAGAACAAAACTATCATGACTACTATGAAACTTATGAATCAAGGCCTTGTTCACTTGGATTGATTCAACAGAACAAATTTCACTCAATGGCAATACAACTTGAAGTTCCTTCTAATGACATTAAAGATTTTCTATGTCCTAGATTCGGAGTTTGCACTACTACCAGAACCAACAAATGGAGATGCCGATACCATAAGAGTCAAAAGCCAAAAGCATAAAATTTGAATTGATTGTCACGATCATATACTCAATGAACTATCTGAACAGTTTTATGGTTTCTACACTAACACATCATCAGCAAAAAAAATATTTGGAATGCATTAGAGAATAAATACAAAAACTGAAGAAGAAGGTACAAAAATATTCTTGATATAGAGGTATTTTATTTTAAATTTCTTGAAAACATTCATCTTCTCCGCCAAGTGCATGAATTACAGGTACTCATCAACAAATTAAAGGCGGTCAAGATTGAACTTCCTGAATCATTGTAAGTGAGAGTAATTATTGCTTAACTCTCGAGAACTTAGAAAGGATGTTGAAAAAAAAAATCCTTCATAATTCTGAGGATTACTCTTTGTAACAAGTTCAAAAAATTTCTGAATTGAAGAGGAATTGAAGGCAAGGGATAAGAGTGAAAACACTTATGAAGGCACAACGAAAGCCAATGATATTGAAAGGACTAAGCTATCAACAAATCAAACAAGACGAAACTTCCTAAAAACTTTAACAAGTTTATGAAGAAGTCGAAGGGAGATTGTATGTAGAAAACCCGTCGACATTGAAAACAAAATAAGAAAAAGGGAAAAGTTAACTCCATTAATGGAGATAGCATTGTGACTACCATGAGGGAAATTAATTCAATCAAGGGAAAGGTTCAAGTTGATGGTATGATATATGTGCAACTATTCATGTATCATGTCTCTATTTAAGACTTATCATGAATGAATTAAATAGAGAGCAAGAGATACAAATGGGTCATGAAGAATGCTCCAAAGTGGTTGGGAAAGGAAATGTTGATATCATCTTCACTTCTGGAAAAATCATTACTTTACAAATGGACTACATATTCCTGGAGTGAATAGGAATTTAGTGAGTGGAAATCTCTTAGAAAAACAGAGCATCAAAAGTGTTTATGAGTCTGAAAAACGTGTACTATCCCGAAATGAGAATTTTGTTGGAAAATAATATTCTTGTGAAGGAATGGTCAAATTGTATACGATTGTTAGTATTAATAATAAAGTTGAATTTGCTAACTTGGTTGATTCTTTAATATTATCGAATATCTTACATATTGTAAGAACATGAACCCTAAATGGACCAAATTGGTTCCAAGAGGCATTAAATGTGTCTATGTTCGATATGCTAGTGATAACAAATCATATAGATTATTGAATTTGGAAACCAATGTGATAAATGAATCGAATGCCGTGGAGTTCTATGAGAATTCACTATCTTCGGATAATGAATTGAAGGAAACTCATAAAGAGATTTATAACTCTAGTAGAATATAAGATGAAACATCTTTTAAAAATGTTAATGAATCTACTGAGCCATGAAGAAGCAAAAGAACTTGATTAGAAAAGACTTTAGGACTAGATAAAATTGATTCTTAATTTATCTCACTTAGTAAAAGGAAATGAGAAGAATGTTGTAAGAACAATACCTTTTGTTTTACATGTGAAAATAGATCCCCAAAACCTATAGAGAAGCTATCACTTCTCTTAATAGTATCTTTTAGAAAGATAGAATTAAAGATAAGACTTATTCAATTATGCCAAGCAATATGCAGGAACTTGTTGATTTCGCCACCCAAGTCTAAACCAACTAGTTGTAAATTTGGGTTTAGGAGAAAATATAATTTAGACGGTTCTCTTAATACCTTTAAAGCTAACCTAGTAGCTAAAGGTTACAAATAAAATGAAGGAATAAATTTAAAACATATGCACTAGTAGTTGGGATAACATCAATTATGATATTATTCGCATTAGCTTCCATATACAACTTGCTTGTTCATCAAATGGATGACAAGATGGTACTCTTAAATGGGGTGATCTCAATGATGAGATTTATATGGACCAACCTGAATAGTTGCTCTGCCCGAAAGTGAACACAAGGTGTGTAAACTAGTAAAATCATTTTATGATTTAAAACAAACACCTAAGTAATAGTATGAAAAATTTGACTTAGAAATTATTTCATTTGGGTTTATATATAATAGTGTAGATAAGTGTTTATATTTGGAATTATGTGAAAATATTATACTTATTTGCTTGTATGTTAATGACATGTTGATTTTGAGTAATCGCATAGATGTAATAAAGAAATAAAGAGATTTCTATCTTTCACATTCAAGATGTAGTATTTTGGATAATGGATACCATATTAGATATCAAAGTTACTAAGCATACTGGGGCTTTTTATTTAGGTCAATTACATTAAATCGAGAATGTGACAAATAAGTTTAAATGGTTGAATATAAGCATGTGTTTAGCCCCATTCTTGCCATTTTCTTTTTCAACATCTCATTAATCTACATTAAACAATTAATAAAAATGCAAAAGTTTAATTGCAGTGTCAGACTTCAGGTTGCCCATTGGACCGTTGGAAATTGATTGGACTAAATTACCCTTACCAAGCCAAGTCCATTGATAACATGTCAATGGCAATTTTGGAACATTGGGTGAATTTTATGTGGACCACTCCAAGGAAAAGTCAAAAAAAGGCAACCGTAAGTGGAAATTGATGCATTAGTTCCAGACGTGGGGACCATAATTTATGAAAATGAGTGAAAAATAAATGACAAGGATGAGGGCCAAACACAAGCTAAAAGAGTATAATAGCCGGCTTGATCCAAGTTCTAATTAAGCTTCTTGATAAGTATGTTTTTGTTCACTTATTTAATACCCAAATAAGCTAATTAGTGGTCAAATTGAGCGAATTCCTATTGACAATTGTGTATTCATGGCTTTTGTAGGCAAAAATCACTCACGAAATAGGAACAAGGCAAATGGAGGTGAAAATGACCAAAATTGTAAAGGAGGGGACCAAAGTGCACAAGTACCAAAAGTTGAGGATCCTTGCATGCAATTTATGAAGCTGTGATTGATATAAAAGTGAAGTTCTGAGGACTAAATTGCACGAGATCAAAGTTTATGGACTTAACATGCCAATTGTTAGAGGACTTGTGTGCAAAGAGAGAGAGAGAGAGAGAGAGAGAGAGAGAGAGAGAGAGAGAGAGAGAGATATGAAACAAATTGTTTTGTTTTAATAGAGAATTGTCCCCACCATACGACGCCTTATTGTGTGTTCGTTTTTATTGTTAAATTAAAGGAATTGTTTTGCTATTTGTCTAAAATTTTGTGGAATTCGGCTGATCCACACAGAGAGAAAAGTAGTTCAGAGTTTCGAGAAGTGCGGGAGTGCACAACGAAAAGAGTTCCTTAGTGATTTATAACTTAGGTGGTCAGAGTTAGCTAAAATATAGCAGTTTCTAAATTAATTGTAAGTTTAATTTTTTTAGTAAATTTTATTGGCAAGTTTGTTCGGAGGTTTTTTATCTAATTAGGAATTTTCTCGTGATCATATTTGGTGTTGTTTGATCTTTGTTTATTTTATTGATTGACACATATGGTTAAATTAAATTGGTTTAATTACTTTAATCTTCTAAAAACTAAGTGTCTTGTAGCTTTTCATTATTCTAGTTCTGTATTTCGGTCTAAAAACCTATAATTTCCAAGAGTAATATTAGCTCACTATACTAAGGAAATTTTTCAAAATCTATTATTGGCGAAAGTAAGACTAAAATTTATCAAGAAAAACTCGTAATAGATAGTAAGGCAGACAATCCTTGTCCAACAAAAAGTAGAACAAAGTAGCTGTGGAAGACGTTTCATATGAAGGAACTCAGATTTAAATTGTCGTTGGGGAAGACAAAACTTACCTTGAGGGTCCCCCAAGAATGCTGTCTTCCAAAATAACTCTGAAGACTCGGATGTGCTTAAGTTCTTCATCGAGTAAATGAGTCCTCGATCATCCCCAGCCACGTACGTAGCTACTTCTCTTAACCGAGTTGTGAACATCAGTTTGCTATCAATTCGATAATGTGGTAAAATTCTAAGCAGGAAATTGAATCCTTCCAGTGGCCATATGTCATTGAAAACAACCAAGTATATTTTATCTTTCAAGGATTTGTAAACAAAATCTGCAGATTCTTCAATATCAAGATTTAAGTGCGTTGTTCCGCCTACTTGTTTGGAAATTTGTTTCACCATTTTTCTAAGAACATTTTCCAAAGTAATGTCCTGGCCCATCTTTATCCAAACACGAACGTCGAAGTGTTGCTGAACAGATGTATCATTGTATAACTTCTGTGCAAGAGTGGTCTTACCTATCCCACTCATGCCGTATATGCAAATAACTCTGTAGCTGCCATCAAGCAGAACAGATTTCAGAGTTTCGATTCCATCGTCCATCCCAACAATATGCTCTTCTCGAGAGAGGGAGTCACTATACCTGAACTGTCGGTTCTATGGTTCTGGATTCTCATTTGCTGAGTGAGAACTTTCTTCTTCTATTTTAGTGACTCCTAATATGTTTAAATCCTTAAGTACCTCGATGGTTCTCATTATCCGGGTATTAATTTCTTCGACCTCACAAGCAACCATCCGGAAGGATTTGATATCATCAATGAACCTAATAAATTTTATAAGACTGTTTTTTATGCTCCTGCCTCGTCTGGATTGGACCTTGTTGGAATAGATTTGAAGGAAATCCTGAAGTCTACAAACAAGGTCTCTGATGTCTTTTTTCAGGTTATATACACTTGAATTCTTGATTTTTCTGGCATCAAGATCTTTTAATACAGAGAGCCACAGCCTTGGCTTTGCATCTGCATCTTGAACTCCTTTCTCCGATTCAAGGGCTAAATTTGATCGAAATTTTCGTAGCAAAGCTGGCGTTGAACTCTGTATAACTGCGGAGGGCCATTCTTCAGCCATTTTCTGTCTCACAGCAAGGACCAGCAANCTGCTCGTTTTCACCAACAAATTGAAGTTGCGGAATGATATTCAATGTTATGCTAATTGATATCGAACCACAAGCAGGGATTTTTGTCATAGAAACCACTACTGTACAACTTCATTTGAATTTTTGTTTACTGAGATTAAATCCATAACTAATATGCATATGACCCGCATGAGTCCACTTACTTGGAGATGGAAACATAGAATCTCTGGTCAGTGCCTCCTTCAAGATGCAATCAGTCGTAAATAAGATTTCACAGTTCTGACTCGTATGAATCAAATTTTGTCCTTTGAGTCTTCACTTAAATAGGCTGGCCATATGGATGCCAATTATTATTATTATTATTATTATTATTATTATTATTATTATTATTATTATTGTTATTTTATTTTATTTCTGGTTGACTAGAAAGATTTCATCTCCATAATATAATAGAATCATGCTGCATTATCACGGCCACAGAGGCAGGGTATGTCGCCTGGTAAAGGAGAATAATCCAATAAATTAAAGTAATATTCTCCTACGTGCTTAGCTCATCTTTGATAGGGAATAAAATTCAATTTTTAATTTAAGTCAAAGTAAACAAATGGAAACAAAAGTTGTGCGAGTCTTCATTGAAATATCTAGCTACATAGACAATCATTCTACATGAATATCAATGTTGACATAAAACTTGAAATAGTGTCACGTGACATTATATTATTGGACAGTTTAAAATATAATCAGTTTTTTCATTCAATCATCTACTACCAGATGTAATTATATCAAGCTTTCTGTTAAATCTTTCTCACAATGTAGTTTTATCCGCGATATAGATGCCAATTAGTTTTATTTTTTGGTTGACTGCAAAGTCTTCTTTTATTTATTTATTTATTATTTTTTTGGTATTTAGAAGTAATGAGTTGCATATCTAATACTAAATATTAGAGAATACAACAAAGTGGGTCAAGGTTTGGGTAGGTATAAGTTTTTGCGTTCCCGCTTGGTCAGGCACTTCTGTTACGTTATCTTACCCAGCATACCCGGTTAAAGCGGGAAGGTGCCTCTGCCTCATTTATCATCCACTTTATTATTGTTGTTGTTGTTGTTGTTGTTGTTGTTGTTTCTGTTTTTAGTTGGTGATATTTTTTTATTTTTTTTTATTTTTGTTAATATGTTAAGAACAATCCATGTTCCCTTTAAAAATGATAATAGTTTTTTTTTTCTTTTTATTTGATAAAAAATTTAAAATGGACTTTAAACGGAGCAAGTAGTGGGGCTTGGACTATGTTCATTGTACCCTCTATCTCCTCTCCGGGGCAACGATCCCTGTCCCAACCTGTTCCCTACCTCAGTTATCAGATTAGGTGGGTAAACCCATTTAGAACTTTAACAAATTTTTTGCCATCCCTACTAGATATTAGCATACCTAAACCTTCTATATATATATATATATATATATTAGACATTTGATTCAAGACCTGGTCTCTATAATATAATATCATGAAAGACCAAATACATAACTATAAATTTAACAAGAACAGATTTCATGTGTGTGTGTGTGTGTGTGTGTGTATACTTCAATAATCTCACGTATTTTTTATTCAGTAATATTCTCCTACATCCACTTTTTTATCTTGAATCTTGATCGATGTTGTTATCATTTAACTTCTTAGAGATCAGCCATGGGAACATTAACCGTTATGTGTGATACTTTCATGAGTTGGTTCTAAAAGTGCCATTTATAAACTTATTTTTGGCTTTAAATAGTGATATTTTATAGTCCTTTTGATGAAAATATAGCCTAATTTGTGTTATATTGTGTTTATTGGGTAAAATTCATGATTTGATGAAAATTGGAGAAAACAAGGTAAAAATAGAAAATAATGACAACATTAAAACTAAATTGCAACATTTCAATAGTTGCAACGGGACATAAAACGAAGAGTGAAGATGCTACAAACTTAGTTGGAAGCATATGGAAGCTAAAGGGATGAAATCACAAGTGAAAATGATCAAATAGGCCCCAAAATGTGAAGTTATGCGTACGCATGGTCTGCATAAGTGAGATCTCACTATAGGTGGATTGAAGCTAAAATCATTCTACTATGCATACACTCAAATTATACCATGCAATCCATAGCTTTCTGGCCAGGAGAAATATTTCTTTCATTTTCTTGTTTCCGGCAAACTTTGGTATGATATGTTTGCTTCCCTTATAACTTAGAATCCATCTAAAATGTGAGGAAAGATCCCTTAGACTTAAAAACCATATATTCAACATAATTTGGAGGCGAAGAATGGCACCAAAAATTTGTCCGGACAGAAATCCCAAGCATATGAGATCGTTGACTAGTAATATTAAAGTGAGTTGTGAATTATCGTCTCACGAGAATTAATATTAAATTCTAGTTCACTAGTTACTATTAAATTCAATGATCATGACATAAAAGAGGTGATTGTATTGTTTTTTATACTAATCCTAAACTAAAAAAGTAATCAAAATTGTTTTGTCAAATACATGAATGATTGTATTGGATTTTGAAGCCCCTTATTACTATTTATTTCAATTCTTGATTAGTAAGCTAGTCAATTTCATGCTTTTCGTGATAACTGATAAAGCTAGTGTATTTAATTCTCTTTTTCAAGACAAAATAAGTATATTCTAATTACAAATTGAAAATATTCCTAGTTCGAATTCATAAGAAAAATGCTTTAAATTATAGATTATCTATGTGATTGTATATTTTATAAATATTATTCCTAGTTCTATCTACAAATGTTAATTGTATCACGTTCTAAACTTATTGTAAGTCTCTCAACATTATAACAAGCAACTAATTATCAATTGGTGGCAAATCAATTAAATAATGCAATGGATATACAAAACCAATCTAGAAAACCAAAAAATAACTAAATTATTAGTCTTAAATTAAAACAGATATGCAATAGGGGTCATCATTCATTTAATTCAATAGAAAAACTAGCATTGCATTCTAATGATTAAATTATACAAGAATTATTGAAAAAAATACCGGGAAGTAGAAATGATGAATGAAGTGGAAAAATCCACTTTCTTCACTTGAATCTAGAAAAGTCATGAATATTCTTCAATAATTTTGTTTAATCCATCTTGATCTTAATGTTTAACCTTGTTCTTCACCTCCAAAATATGTAGACTATGTGATTTTTAAGTTTAAGCAAGATTCCCTCATGTTCTGAACATATTCTAGGTAATAAAGGATCCAAATATATCATACCAATGTTTGCCAAAACAAGAAAAGGAAATAAATCTTTTTCCTAGCCGAAAAGCTATGTGTACACATGATATAACTTAAGTGTATACATGGTGGAATGATTTTAGCTTCAGTTGTCCTATAGTGGGATCTCGCTTAAACATGGTATGACGGCCTATGAGCACAATAACTTCCAATTGCCCTATTAGCATCTTCACTCTTCATTTTATGTCCCTACACAACTATTGAAATGTTACAATTTAGTCCCTGTATTTTTAATTTTGCCATTCTTCTCTATTTTTAGCTTCTTTTTTTTTTTCCAATTCTTCATAAATCATGAGTTTTACCACATAAACACAATATAACATAAATTGGGCTATACTTCATCAAAAGAACTACAAAATTTCATTATTTAAAGTCCCGAATAAGTGTACAAATTGAATTTATCAAATCCCCAAACTTGAACATTTATTTGTCCTCAAAGCCTACTTTTATTTCAAGATTACAATACAGAAATCAAAGCCTACTTTTCTAATGCAAAGTTGACGTGTCTGTGACCAATTAAGCATAGCATCATGAATTTACAAGTTGTTCGATTCCCAACCTTTAATATTCAAATATGTTCTTGTCCTCTTGTTCTTTTAATTCTTTTCAAGTTTGTGATCTAAAATTGAAATTTATATTATTCTCACGTCTCTAGTTAAGGTAAATCTCATCAATTGCAGTTCAACACGTCAATAAATAAGGATTTTTCTTTAATTTTGATTGCTTCAATCTCCAAAACTTAACTTAGCTAATAATCCCTTATCAAAAGTTAGATTTCCCTAAATAAGTGTTTGGGATATAATAAGGGCATTTGGTGCGTCTTCTGTTTTATGCACCTACTTTTATCTATTTTTTATATTTTCCCTCAATTTTCCTCTTTTTAACAGTTTTTCATTTACAACACTCTCTCTTAAACTTTCTAAATTACCCATGTAACAGGCTTTAGAGTGATGACTCCCTAGTCAATTGACTTTAGGATAACAAGTTTTAACCCCTTACAGGGTTAATAATTTGTTTAATTCTAGTTTATTAGTTGATATTGGATTCAATTGTTCTTTTTATTTTTAGACTATCTACCACAATCTTGATCTCTCTTGTATCTAGTATACTTTTGAAATGTTATTTAGTAATGTATACAAGATTCCGATGCTAGCAATGTTAAAAATTGCAATAAATCATCTCAACATGGACAAGGAGGATATGCTTGTAGGAGATGTATATTGTGATTTCTGCTATCGGATGCATCATACAAGCTTCTTCTTGTATACATAAGTTGACCCCTTGAGATTCAAGCTCTTGTGATTTCAATAATATTTAAGATGTCAAAAACAAGCAATTGAGAGATCTAATAAAGACTAGATGCTTGTAGGAGATTATGTACCTGCAGATTAGGTAGAGGACGTTATGCTTGTAGGAGATGGTCCACTCATGTTGAACAAAATGGTGTTTACGAATGAACAAATTTTTTTTGGAAGATGCCATATACAGGAGTGAATTTAAAAGGTGGGGATATAATCTACTTAAAAATGTTGAAAGGAAAGAAACAGTATTGCCCGTGAAGGTAGACTAGGTACCTGCCATTAAACCCAATGAGATATCAATTATTGAAGAGTAGCAAAAAAAGGATGAAAGATTAATTACGAAGAGATCAAGAAAAGAAGTGGCAATCAATGAAGATGAAATTATTACACATTTTTATTTATGCTTTTTAGATATAGGATAGCGGTTTAGTCTTA